TGAGACCTCTAGGTTCATGGCTAGTGGTATTACAACTAGATCAATCCCTTGTTCGTCCCAGGTATCTATCTTGCCTCCCACAGCACCTACCCCAGAATCTGGGCCAGAAACTCCTGGTCCGAGGGTAAAATGTTCTTACTAAAACAAACCGCAGACTTGGCCAGGTTTACTCGTTGCCCACTTAGTTCCTCATATTCGTTTAGGACTTCGAGCAAATTCTCACATTGTTGTAGAGATCCGCGGAGAAATAGATATGAATCATCCGCAAAAAGCAAGTGGGAAATCCTGGGTGCCCGGGGGGAAACTTTAACTCCTTCCAGCTTACCCTCTGAAATTGCTTTTCAGAAAAGGGCCGTAAACCCTTCTGTGCATAGAACAAACAAGAGGGGGGAGAGGGGATCACCCTGCCGGATGCCGCGGGTGGAGCGGAAGAAACCATGAGGCATCCCATTCATCAAAATCGAGAAAGATGATGATTGGAGACATTCCCGAATCCAAATGATCCAGGTCGGACAGAATCCAAGTTTAGCTAGAACCGCAAAGAGGAAAGGCCATTCGACTCTATCATAGGCCTGCAAATCCTCCTGCCAAACATACGTCACCATCGCCCGACCTATCGGATTATATGCCATTGCGCATCAAACTAGAAAAGGGGGTGACTGTTTCGCACCTAAGGTTTATCGGATAAGAGAAGGGCACGATGGTCCGACCCATGGTCCGTAAAGTGTTTGACAAGGGTGTCCGGGAATTTATCAATCCACGCTTGGGAGCACAAGGCACGATCCAGCCGCTCACGAATACAGGTCGTTCCCATTCTTTTATTTGTCCAAGTGAATTGATCCCCCTGGTACCCTGGGTCATGAAGACCCAAATCATCCACAAAATTGCGAAGAGTCAGCGCTTTGCCCATATTCCAGGGATTACCACCATCTTTTTCACCAGCATCGAGCGTAGTATTGAAATCCCCAATAACTACGTATGGTAGCTCAAATTCAGCGCAAATGTGATAAAGCTGGTCAAGCTGAGCCGTTTGTGTTACTTCATTACAACTCATGTAAACACAAACCACAACATATGAAAAATTTCCTTCATTAACTAGAATACAAATGAAAAAGTTCGAATGAGAAAACACTGAAGCATCAACTTCGAGGGACCAAGCTACAACTAGACTTCCTTATACATTGACAGCATCCACAAAGAAACAATCAGAAAAAGCAAACCCTAAGCCCCGCATACGTCGGGAAACGACTCGCCGACACGATCTTGTTTCTGATAGGAAGACAAGTTCCGGTTTATTTGAATGAATCAAACCTAAAGCAGTCTGGAATGTGAGGGAGGGTCCAATTCCTCTCACATTCCAAGCCAGTAGCCTCATTTATCCGGCTGGGGCAACTCAAGGCTGGCTTCCTCCACCTGATTTTTCTCCTGTTCTTCCAAATCTTCCACAAACTGCTTCTTAGCAGTAGGGTCTTCCGTGACTTCCCCAGCAAGCTCACACCAAGCCCTTTTCCGCCCACCAATGTCTAGGTCAGCAGTATTAGTACCATACTCATCCACTGTAAGGCCCGATATCTGGCCCTCCAAGTGTTGGCGAGACCCGCCCTCTTCTCAATAGCTTGTACGGCTTGACGGAACACGGCCAGGGTTCTTGGGCAGCCGGCCAGTTCAGGTTAACTTGGTCCTATCGAGCCTCTTCAGTGGGGAACGACTTCTGAGCTCAAACTGGTTTTCCCTGCCTTCCGAGAGGGTGGCCTCTGACTCAGTAAGCTCAGGATCAACCACCGGTTCCTCCTCCCGTTCACACTTTTGGGATACTCACAGTCGAAGGTGAAAGACTGTCCTCCAAGTCATCAGTCAACTCTGGTTCCCGTTCCTCAAATTCAGAATCTTTCATGCACATTTTTCCTTTTCTTTTGCGGTCAGCCTGTGCTTTAGCAAGCTCCAAATGGGCTTCCTCACCATAAGACCTTGCTCTTCTCCTTCGAACCTGACGCGAACGAGAGGATGCATGCCTCAATCCATCAGGAGTCGTCTTCACTTTCAACTCCGGATTGTGAACCGTGGGCTGCTTTCGGGCTCCGCCATTTCGAGCCATGTAATGCAAGACATCACTTCTAGGCTCCATCTTAGGTTTGGGTTCTCCCTCTGGTTGTTCATCCTCCGAATCATCAAGAAAAAGCCGTCTGCGATGAGTTGGAGCAGCCTTGACCGTTGCTGGCACCGGTTTTGGTTCACGTGCCCGAGCTTTATTATTCTAGTTCCCCTATCGAGCCATGACTCCACTGTCCTCCGTCTGCAAGCTTGCTACTAATCTCATTTGTTTCCATCTTGTGGGAGGGGAATCTGCCTTGCTGCTCGCGAGGATCTCTAGCTGCACCTTTGGAGCTAGCGCGGCGCAATCGCTGGTTATGTCGGAGAGCAGGAGGCTTCATCACAAGGAAGCCCCGGGGGCTACGTTTCAGTGATTCCCCCTCGGCTCGTCTCGCCCTGCGGGTGAGCTCTCTCCCCGGGCAGCTGGGTGCGGCGTGGAGCAGCTTGAGCTGGAGCGCCCCTTCTTGCCGCCACGTCCCGCTCCGGTTGATGGGAGGAGTCACCAGCCTCTTCCTTAGGGGCACGCATATCCCTATTCACCCGGACCGTGGTCGGGTTCCCTCGAAAAGGACGAGTGTCCTCATCAGCATCATATAGTCTTGTCCCCGTCTTCTTAGTCGACATGTGTGGGCCTCTTCCTTAGGGGCACGCATATCCCTATTCACCCAGACCGTGGTCGGGTTCCCTCGAAAAGGACGAGTGTTCTCATCAGCATCATATAGTCTTGTCCCCGTCTTCTTAGTCGACATGTGTGGGCCTAATCGCTCCTTTCTGGTTGGGGGGGTTCAAAGGAGCAATCACTGCGCAAATGCCCAACCCTCCTGCAGTGGAAACAGAAGCTCGGGAGATGCTCATATTTCAACGAGCCCCAAAAGCATCCCGTCTCATAATTGGCCTCCATGAGCTAGGATCTCAGCGGCTTTGTGAAGTCGATTAGGGTCCGCACCTTGACAAAGCTTCTACCCGAATTGTGACACACAAATACTCCAGCTTCTAGGACATCGCCCAATCGTTGCACTTATTAGTTTCTTTCTGAATTGATGTGTACAGCATTTCTCATGGACATCCCATAGTTGCACTCGAATGGGACAATAGCCAAATCATCAAACACTTTCTTGGTGATGCTCAGCGTCCAAGCGCGTAGGTGGAGGATTTTATCCTGAATTACGCACAATGTACGGTTCAGCACCCAGTTCTTTGCAGCTTCATTGGGCAGGACGAATTCAAACAAACCATGTTTCATTTCCATGACTCGAATCCGTCCCTTCCCCTGCCATGGTGTGTTAACCGCGCCCATCAATTCCATTGGTGTCACCCTACTGCTTGTGAAAACTCGTCCCAGAAGCGTTCTATTCCCCCGGAATTTGGCCAGGTTGGACTTCCTTCCAAGGAAAAGTAACCACATGGTCATCTGTAACCCGTGTCATGACCCTATCCTGCAAATCAGAGGGTAGAGGGGAACTTACAACGCCGGCGAGGTCATTCTCCTTTTTCCAAAGTAACAGACCCCATAGTTGGGGGGAAAAAAGATCGTATGGTAAAGGTAAATCGCCAACCAGCCAGGAGAGAGTTAGCTAAGTGAAAACAAAGCAGCAGGGGCCTCACGATGGAGGTGAGTCTTACCATTCTTGGGAGCTTGCTTGGGGACCCTCTCTCGATTTGCTGCCACCACCCAAATTCCTTCTCGGTCGAACACTTCTTGTGTGAAAGGGGAATCGGGTCAGTGGCAATAAATAGCCCGGAGGAGGATGTCGTCCCAGAGCAGGAGTTCCAATGTGCCTTGACCTAGTCTGAGTTTGAGTAGGAATATACCACTGAATTTTGAAATTGAGAGAGAGGAAAACCCCTACTTCCGGGACGTAAAGTCCGAGGTCATCAAAATACCCATATCCCAGGGTGTACCGGCCCACCGGATTCTAGGCGGGATTCTCGGATTTAACGATTTCAAGAATCGTTGACGACGACAGCTGTGCGTCAAGAGCACGACGCCTGCAGCACCGAATTCTGGCGTGTAGAGGGTCCCTCATGCTCGAACGGTGGTTCCTTGCCGGGATTGGCCTCTAGCAGGCCTACCGCGGCAGCATGAACCGGGAAATCCTCTAATTCGTATACCTGCGTCCAGGTCTTCCTGCCTGGGTAGCAAAAATTTCCATAAATTTTTTTTTAGCACTCGAGGTTTTTTCTTTCGAGGCATGAGACTCGCCGAAGGAGAGTCCCGCTTTACCGGGGTAGCGTCCTGCATTCGTTTCCGATTTCCGTATTCGGCAACCGTACTAGCTATCCGAGTACTCCCTTGTCGACCCTGGCCACCAGTAGATTGGATGACCAGCTTCCCTTTACGATAACTTCGATCAGAGTTCGTGCCATCATAATCCGACCCCTGAGCGCACCCTCCACTCAGCCAGCATTGATTGTTGAGACTCGCCTGCCGGATTACGACGAATGTGTTCACCAGGAATCGCCACGCTAATCGACAAAACTCGAAGAGAGAGGAGAGAGCTCCTTCTCTCATTCGAACACTACTATAAGACTAGGGTAATTGATTGAAGAGGAGGAACCTAAAGAAAACAACTCCCAAAAGATTTCATTTTCTAGATTTATTTTTTACCACGTACTGCCTCGATTCACTTCACCATTTGATCATCCATCAACCAACCACCATACCCAATGACAAATTTTAGAATTCATACATTTCAAAAGCTATCCATTTCCGCACAATCCATCTTCCACGATTGTAACAATCCCCCATCCAAACGACCTACATAGTCAACTCACCACCTTGTACGACTATGAAGAGCGTGGATGAGATAGCTAGGATCTCTTTTGAACTGATTAAGGTCTCAAGTTCAAGCTTCAAGAAAGTGACTATGCTTAGTAAACGCCTAGGTGAGTTGTGATTGGGTTGGAATGGCCTTAAACTTGTGATTGCGAAAGAGATGGACTTAGCCAACAATCTTAAACCATTATAATTTGATCGAAAAAGAAGAAAAGGCCTACTAATTTGTTTCTGAGTTCAAGTTCCTTACCTTCCCTCTTCCGCATACATACAAGATACAACTACAAAATGGCTCCAGTAGCCTACATGTTGGAAACAAAAAGACACTCAAAACACTTGCCTTATGTTGATGTTTATTCTTGAAGTTCTTACATAGTCCAGGAGATGGCTTTCCTCTGAGAAATGTGTTTCCAGACTATCAATTTCAGCATTTTCTTCGTCGATAAAAATCCGAGGCACACCTACAAAGGATCATTAAAATGTATTAAATATAAAAATGGTAAGTATAACAGATGGTTTTGCTGCAGCCCTTTACAGGCAAAAGGTTTCCATTGGTTCATCAGACATCTCTGCGATTTTACTCAGCCTAACCATACTCAAGCAAGTCCAAGTTCAAACATGAAGACAGCAGAAAATCTGACTCTTGAGAGTAGAGCATTTCCACAATGAGAGATAGAAAGATCAAGAGTTTCTAATCAGTTTCATGATTCTGACACTGTGTGCATCAAGACTTGACGAATGAGAAAACTTGACTTACCATGGAAGCATTCCCTAGCTTCTCCAGCCATTAGGACCACATCACCACTTCGGAGAAACATCGCCAGTGGAGGATCGTCTCTCGACTTACCCCCAAGCAGGAAGATGGCTTTGCAGCCCAAACTAACAAGAAAGCAAAGCAAACCCTAAAATCAGTAAGTAACACTTTTGCTTTTCATTGTTCTTTCTGCAGAATACAACACAGCTTCAAAACACTCACCTCATGCTTACAATCGGTTTACTCCAATCTAGTTCCATATCATCTAGATGGCCTCCTAATGTATCACCTGAACAACAAATGGGTAAGTTTCCTCAATCTCCAGGTACAACTGAATTTCTTAGTCTTTTATTATAACTATGCATCATACTTCCTTGGATCATCAAAAGCAAAGTTACCTAGCCCGAAATAGTTCACAATTGCAGCTTCTGGATGGAACTCTTCTCCCTTTGGCATTGCAGGAGCGGCCAACTTTTGAGCTAGCTCACAGAGGGCATCTGGGATCTTGTTATGCGGTAGAGATACATTGTAGTTCCTCTACATTGCCACGGAGCACTGACTTGTAAGTTCTAAAGCTCAATTCTCATGCATTCAATCAATAGTTGCAGACTCCATTAAGGTTACCTTGGACCAGTCAAATTGCAACCCAAGAGTGCTCCACCGTAGCTTCCTCAATAAAGCAGTACCCGAGACCGATTTACAAGCATTGCCTTTGCTTCTCAATTTCGCAACACCTTCCTCACAAAATCTCCATTTCTGACCATCTCCATTGCTGCCTTCTTCCTCCAACAACACTTTCCCTTCTTTTGCTGCAACGAATAGGTCGCCTACCGGCCCATAGATTGCATTGTGATTGGTTCGATTAGGCGGTTGAGGGAAGCTCCTTAAGCTCTCTCTTATCCACTTGCATTGCTCTTCAACACTCAGAGCTCCGGGAATGAAATAGAACCCTGCAGAGTAACAATAACACTGGACTTATCTCAAGCAGCTAGCAAAATTCAGTTACCCGTAAATTCCCTCAAGTGTTTTCAGAAGTATTTACCAGGGCGAGTTTCCAGGCGGAAGACAGGGCGATCGTCGAAACCGCAACGAACAGCGGCGATTCCAGGTGGAAGTTCGTCGTTCTGATTGTGAGAGTTCAGGATCGAATTGAAATCCAGAACCTCCGATAAATCGACCTGCTTTGGCTTCTTCTTCCTGTAGAATCGCTAGTAGAGGGAAAAAGTTAACTTGCACTCCATTGAAGAAATCGAAGAAGCAATAACAGAAAGAGATGGACTACTTTTTGGAAGACTGCTCGTAATACAGCTTGTACTTCTTCTCCGCTCTTCTGAACGCCGTTATCTCCGCCGCTTCGTCAGCGGTGGTATCGGCTCTGTACATCACGGTCGGGGGTCGGAGAATGAGCCTCCGCCGTGTTTTACCAGGGTTCCGGGGACGCAGTTCGTTTGCCGCCGTCGCGACTCGCGAGACCCAATAAGTTCTCTTCTTCCTAAGCCGAAGACGGTCGGAGGAACCAAAGTGGGCTTTAAGCCCGTCTATTGGTGCAAAAGAGACGAATTAAACTTCGTATCAATCCGAGGCCCAACCATAGCTAGGCCCGGCCCAGCTCTTTCTCTACCTTTGCGTTGCCTCGTTAATCGTTAGCGGTTGATCGAGAAAAAATCTGTGGATCGAATGGACGAATTGGAAGCTTCAAACGAGAACTATATACTCCCCAAGTAACAATCCACTGAACTTTTTTCCTGGGAAACTGGAAGGGAAATCAACGAGGAAAATTCAGCTCGAAGAAGTGATTAGAGTTTAGCAATAAGGATAACAAATGGCGTGCAGGTCGGCTTTGCGTTCAGTGTTCGCAACAGAGCAACCATGGAGACCATTCCAACAGACTCGCCGTCTCTGCTGTTTCCCTCAGACGACGACAACCCTCGAGCGCAGAAAACCGATTTGCGCCTTGTGCAGAAGTGTAAGAGCCCGTCGATTTCACTCCGTCGTACCATGCCGTTCGAATTTCTCGAATAACGGCGGCGTTCCTGTGCCGGAAGACGACGACCAGGAGCAGGGGCCGCCGCAAGAAGCCGTCTTGAAGGCTATCTCAGGTTTCCTTCTCTTTTCATGTTATATTAGCGTTTGGGTTTTGGATAGTTTCTAATATCCTTTATGGTTGCCATGGATGGTTTGAAGTATGCTGGTTTGTGCCAAAATGATTTTGATGTTGTTTGGCAGAGCTATCAAAAACAGAAGGGAGAGTGGGGCAAACTACGAATGTGGTTATTGGAGGGACAGTAGCTGATGATTCCTCGGAAGAATGGCTTGATTTAGATAAGAAGGTATGGGAAATTCATTTCCACTTTCAATTTTGCCTGTGGACCATTTTGAAGCACAGAAGTTGCATATTAATGGGACTGGAGTGACGTTGAAATGTTGATTCGCCAGGTAAATACATATCCTACTGTTAGAGGGTTTACTGCCATTGGAACTGGAGGTGATGATTTTGTTCAAGCTATGGTTGTTGCCGTGGAATCTGTAATCCAACAGCCTATTCCCGAGGTTCGTATATGTTTGCCTTTGGTTACTGCTCCTGGGACTTCTTAGGAACAAGAGTTTAGGTCTGATACGCTGAAGGAGATCAAGCCCTGTGCTGCATTTTCAAAGTTATACTTATTGTAATTTTTGTGGCGCCTGGAGGGTTTTAGTTGAAGATTCTGTAGCGTTTTAGTGACTCAGTTGATTTGCCTAGTTCGTAAGATCGAAGATGGTATTGAACATGGGTAGTATGCTTCAGTTAGATGTTGAGATGTTTGTGAAGATGAGAATGAGTGCTGTAGCTTCTTGTGAGTTAATTTCTCGTCTCAAGTTGGAGTCTGAGGACGTATCTGAAATTAATATGTGCAGTAAGTAAAGTATGTGGCTTCAATGGAGATTTACTGAGCAATTATGCAATCTAGCTAGTGTAAAGCTGACTACACGATAGTTATTTGGAATGGATGGCAAAGAAATATACTCTTCTTCTGTTATGATTATTTTGAGAAATGGTTGATGAATGATGATGGTTAACTACAAGATAAATTTAATTTAACTAGAAACAACTTTCGCTTGTACTTCTGGTTAAGCGAATGGTTTAAGTGGAGAAAACAAGCCTTTCCAGAAATTCCTGCCTATTGGCCAAATTGAAACGAAGCAATCTCTTGAGCTTAGGCTATAGATGGCTCATGCCTGATATATGCACTTGAAAGGACAAATGGAAATAGACGTGATCGTAGGAAAGTATCTTGTAGTTCCTTCTGGCATGTATGGTTAAGGCAAAACATTTGGCCTGCCTACAGATTGGTTTCATAACTGGTAAAACTGCAGCATTGTATGTTTGGTGATGAACTTAGTGATTGCATGATAGTTATAAGCAGTTCCGTGATGTCGATCTATGAGGGCTGTTTAGTAATTTCTGTACAGCTAGTAGTTACTACAATCATCTTAAACATTTGTTTAAGTGCGTACTGAGAGAATGTGACTGCTGCTAGCAGATTGTTATTTTACCTACATAAAACATTGGAGTAGAAGGACTTTGCTTGTAAGGCACTGGTTTGTAGCTGTAATATATGCAATGAAACTGTGGCGGAACATGTTCAATTTGTATTACTAAGCATTAACCGATTGGTGGTTCTCTCCTTCAGGGTCGAGTGAGGCAGAAAGTATCATCAAGGGGCAAATATGTGTCTGTCAACATCGGGCCGGTTCAAGTGGTTTCAAGCGAGCAGGTGTGCATCTCTTCTCTACTTGCCTTCTTCAGTTCTTCCAAACGTCGACAAAAAGATAACTTCAACTAGGAAAAAAGTTATTGATGCTGTTTTTCCTCCCCCAGGTCCAAGCTGTATACAATGCCATGCGCAGAGACGATCGAATGAAATACTTTTTATAGATGTACGCGGAATCCATTTTGTCCTTCTGTATAGAATGCTGATCTCGTTGTGATTCCGTTGAGAACTTAGTTGTTGTACCTTTTTTCCCAAGTTAGTACTGTTCTTTGTTCACCAGACCAGTTCTATCAGTCACCATCCATTTGCATATCCTTCCGGCTCTCAGTTTCGATAATACATCTCCCTCATCTGACGGTTCCTCGCGTTTAGAGAAATGGTTCCCGATCGACTACATTTTCCTACATGAAACGTTCCCCAGCAGTCATTTGTATTGCGAAATTCTTCATTTTTGCTGAAATATGAGTAATAGACAACTCTTCTGGTTCTGAATCACTTATAAGCGCCCATTGCATAGTGCTTTTTGCTGCAAACTGCTATCTGTTTTGCACTCGTAATGCACAACTTGAGATGATTCCATTGAAGTAGGTTGAGATTATCATCATCCCCATTAGAAAGTGGGAGGAGAGCAAATGTGTACAAGTTAGGTGCAGCAGTCGGAATATTTTCGTTGTTAGATTCTCCTTTGACATGGTTCCAAATATATACATACTAGTCTGTGACTAAGCCAACAGTGTCGCTGGTTGTCGGCACACTTCTTCCGACGCATTTTCTTGACTAGTCTTCTGGAGCAGTTACGAATTACGACGCATGTTTTCTATTTTTGACCCACAGCAATCTCTGCTCCTTTTCTTTTCCATTTTTTTTTAATTTCTCTATACATTTGACTATCAAGTTCCAAATTCAAGACAGTGATTAGCATGTAATAACAATGTATGCAGTGATGATAGTAACCTAATTAATGTTTTCTCAGCTACATTCAGCAATTACATCGTTAATCACTCCATCTCGCATCGTCATTACTGCATAACAATCATTTTTTCAGGTATATTCGAACGATTATATCGTTGATAAATCATCACTCAATCTAACATCTCCAGTATTGCCTTTCCAAATATTCATTCAAAAGAGATTTTAAGTGTATGCTGCTTCTGCTTCTTTTTTTCTGTTGGAAGTTCATTAGAATTGTTATCTAGACTTTGACTCCATGAGCAGTCGTTTTCCTTTGAAAAATTATTCCCCCAATTCATTTTTAAAGCCTCCTCTCCCTGCCCTCTCCTATCATCCAAATGCACACAACGTCTAGAAGTGTTTAACCAGTCTCTATCACTAATTGAAGTAATTAACCATTAATATTTTTTTTATAACACCATTTATAATTATATATTGTTTAGTGGGTAACTTGGCTTCTGCAATCAACTAGTATTTATATGATATAATAATAAGCAATTAGCCGTGATCCTTAGATTAAGAAGAAAAAAAGAGACCATTCCTACAACTAATTATTTACGGTACTTTGTCCAATATTTTTGTTATTATTATTTGGTTAGTACTTAGTAGAGGGCCTAATCTGATATGGGCTTCCAATTTAGTCAAATGGACTCACGACGCTCCTATGATAGCGATGGGTTAAGTGAACGGCTATTTGCCGCCAACCAAATTGTTATTTGTCGCCAACCAAAAAAAAAAAAAAAAGTATATATGTACATCTTTGGTTAAGAAATTTCACAATCTACAACATATCCAACTTTCATAAAATGTATTGAATCAGAAAAAATCGACACTCGCCGGAAAAGTCCCCGGAAAACCATCGGGAAAGCCCATCCTCGACGTAAACTGTGGACACGCATCCATGAATCATCACTAAGCAGGTGCGTCAACCTCCCGTCGTCCTCAATCGTCGGAAAACAAGTAAGTTTACTTTTTCCGGCAAGTTTTTCAATTTTCCGGCAATTTTTCCAGTTTTCCGGCGAAAAAACACGGTGGGCCGAAAAAATTTTGTGGCCGGAACGCCGCCGGGCCGAAAGAATTTTTCGGCTGGGCGCGACGCCCGGCCTAAAAATTCTTTCGGCCCGGCGGCGTTCCGGCCGCAAATTTTTTTCGGCCGATCGCCGAACGCGCCGCCGGAAAAATTCACGGCGGCGCGTTCGGCGACCGGCCGAAAATTTTTTGCGGCCGGGGCGACGACGGGCCGAAAAAATATTTCGGCCGGGCGTCGCGCCGGCCGCAAAAAAGTTTCGGTCCGGCGGCGCACCGGCCACAAGATTTTTTCGGCCCGGTGGCGCACCGACCGCAAATTTTTTTCGGCCCACCGTATTTTTCAGCGGAAAACTTGAAAAACTTGCCGGAAAAAGTAAATTTACTTGTTTTCCGACGATTGAGGACGACGGGAGGTTGACGCACCTGCTTAGTGATGATTCATGGATGCGTGTCCGCAGTTTACGTCGAGGATGGGCTTTCCCGATGGTTTTCCGGCGACTTTACCGGCGAGCGTCGATTTTTTCTGATTTAATACGTTTTCTGAAAGTTGGATATGTTGTAGATTGTGAAATTTCTTAACCAAAGATGTACATATATACTTTTTTTTTTTTTTTAGTTAGCGGCAAATAGCAATTTGTTTGGCGGCAAATAGCAAGCCCCATATAATTTCATATAATTTCATGAGTATTTGGTTACGAGCCTCATAGTTTAGTAGCGATTTAGGCATTTAACCCATGATAAGTCACAAGTCACGTTAAAAAAATTATCCAATCAAATCATCATGCACGAACCAAGCCCAACCATTCTCAATTTGAGAATGCACTCAAACTTGGACAGTACATATATAAGATGCTAATCAATTTATTCTCAAATATAGTGAATTTACTTAACCCACCCAAACTAATGACGGGTCAAATGAAGTGATTGTTTTTTAAGTAGATGTTACACTAAATGTGTCTGTCTGACACTTATATTAAAAGAGATTGAACAATATTCATCGAATTGTCTATGGTCCAGTATTGAAGATATGGATCACAATATCAATTACATAAAGTCCAAAATATAGGTATGTCCTTTATTAGCTAAATAATCTGCCAAACAATTACATTCTCTATAAGTTAGGTGAACGCTAATCTCTCAATCAAGTCTCTGAAGGTCGTGAAATTGTTGAGCCAAACTGAAATATCTGTGATCTTGAATGTGGTTAGTAGTAAGGATGTTTAGAATCGCAGTAGAATCCGTCCTTATAATCACTCACCTATGCCCTTGATTATAGGTTTACTAATTTTAACCAGCATTTTGTAGCTAAGTTTTTGTTTGGTGTCCACTGAGACATTTTGCGCATTAAGTAATTTCATTAAACACTTCAAACCCTACTATAGCACATACAAATTTCCCTGTAGCAGGAAATGGCTGCCGTCACTAAATGAGTGTATTCTCAATTGGATTCCCTTTCAATTTTTGTTTATTAATCCTAATTTTTGTCTCCGTCCCAATCTTCTCCACAGGGAACGTTTCTTTTTATATTGGGGCTTTTTTATCCATAATCCAACCTCCCTCTGGTTTTCTTCTTCTTCCTTGTGTTCTTCTGATTCTCAAGAAAAAAGAGAAAAGACAGCAATCCAGAACAGATAATGATAATGAATGAAGAATCTAAGTCCAAGGTACAAAGATACAAACTTTCACACTCTCATCCCATTACCAAGGAATCTTTTTTCCGCCTTGAAGCGAATTTCGTGACGAAACGATTTGAGATTTTTAGCTGTTAATTGATTTTGCTCAGGAAGCCATGGAAGCAAGCAAGGTGGAAATTAACTCATCATCACCTTCAGCTTCTCGCCCAGATTCCCCCACAGTCCAAACTCGCAGCAGACCTACCAGCATGGTTATCAAGGCAATCCATTGCTCCCACCTCCTGCCTTCTTTCTTCAATTGTTTAATTTGCATACATTTGTCCATCTAAATTTGAACTTCTTTATGTGATAAAATGGAATAGATAGACTGACATTTTCATTCATACTTTTTCACTGCTTTATTATTTGGGACTACTGGAATAAATTGAATTTGAAATCCAAGGTTCTACCTCTTGATCATTATTTTCATCATTAAGTCAAATTGTCCTATCTTATATAATAAAAAAACATGGGCTAGTTTCATTTTTTTCTCCCGTCTATCACTAGTTGAATTTCTAGTAATTCTATGAAAACATGAAGCTCGAAGTTCCAATTTCTAGTGAGTTTCACCACTATTTCATCGTTAAGCCGATGTCTGATAATATTATTTGCATAATTTGAACACAAATTTGAAACTTTCTTATCAATTATACTCAAGAATCAAATATACCGACATTTCAATACTTGTTTTTCCCTCCACTTTTTCACTATTACTTTCCTTAGTTTGATTTACTTACGAATTGGTAGAATACAAATGTTATAATATTCTTTCCTTTCATGTTTCACCGTTACTTCGGCATCAAGTCAAACTCGAGCTGTAAATTCCATACTATTTAGCTAACCTTTCAGGCTTTCACTATTATGCTTGGCTGCTTTGTGATCAAATCAGTCTCTTGTAACTTTACCAAACTCTCATAGGCCATATCCTTCCGAGTGGCCACTTTCTTTACTAATTAACACCGTGACAAATTTCATGAACGCAGAAGGCGCATTCAATAATCCCAGCCCATCTGGTCGCGGAAGCCATATCAACTCTCCGGGGACTCGATCTCCGGTGGTTGGGACCCATAACTCCAACCGAAATGGAATACGTCAAACAATACGTATTTGTCAAATATCCTCAATGTTGCAATGGAATCCTCAATGAAACCAAAGCAATCGATCTCGCCATTGACGACTCCGAAGAATCCTTCGAACCCAACACCAAAATTTCCCCCAAAATCTCTTCTACGTCGTCGTTTAGTCGGAGCTTCTCCGATATGGACCGTACCCACCTAGAATCGTCCCGCCTTCTCAACATCATAGCCATGAAATCCTCATTCAAGGGCAACTTCATGTCGATCCCAGAAATCCAAGCTTCGAATTGAGCCCTGAAGCACTGCGGGGTGAACGAAAATGACTATCTGGTCGTCTTCGTGTCGAGCCAGAGAGATGCTTTGGCGATGGTCGGCGAGAGCTACCCATTTTTCAGAGGGAATTATTACATGACAATCATTGAAGAAAAACACGACAGAATCCGCGAATTTGCGGGTAAAAAACAGGCAAAAGTGGTTCCAATGTCGGAGAGTTGGTTAGATTTGAGAATCAAAGGTTCTCAGCTGAGCCAGTACTTCCGGCGGAAGTGTAAGCATACTCCGAAGGGGCTTTTTGCGTACCCGGCGGCGGTGGATGGGATTAGGTACTCGATGCATTGGATCTCAGAAGCTCATCGGAACTCGTGGCATGTTTTCAGAGGGTGGCATTGGCAATGCATCGACCGGATTTTTTAGTGTGTGGATTGGAGAATGGCGGCGGTCAGAGGAACGGGCAGAAGGTCATTTGTTTGTTGGTGAGGAAGAACTCGTTTGATACTCCTCCGGATGTCGGGTGAGGATGGTTTTTGTTAATAAATAAAGATAGGGGTTCTGAGTTCTCTTGGGTCTCTCTCTCTTTTCTCTTATGGGAGTTGGGACTTGTGAGATTGAAGGGAGATGATTTTATTTTGGGGAATGGGGAATGTGAATTCATGAAGGGGTTGTTCTAATTGGATTATTTGGTCCGTAGTTGATTGCTACCCAAAATTATCTGAAACTATAGTTGTGTTGTTGATGAAGACTTTTTTTTTGTGGTTAAAGTTCTTGATGAATATTGAAGAGAATCGATAAATTCTCCATCAAAATTAAAGGGAAATCATATATCACCGAATTGTGAAATTATTTGATTAATGATGAAACACGCTTTTCTGTAGTTGTTGGTTTGAATGTATCAAATCTATTTTTTGACCAAGTGAACTGCTTCATAAAAATGAAGTTTTATGATGGTTGGGTTAAGATACAAATGCATTTGTTTTGTAGTTCTACAAAAATCTTTATAGATGGCTGAGAATGAGAGAGAAGAGATACATTGGTCATTTTTGTAGGGATAAAGAGGGAAAGTAGGAGATACATGAGAGGGTTGATCGGATTTTGCTGCCCGCTGCCTGGATTTTGGGAGTGATGTGCGTGGATTCTATAACATGGTTAAAGTACTTTTCAAATTTCTGAATAAAATTCGACAGAACATAGCTCATTCGTTTTATGTCGGATTTCAAAAAAAAATTGCATAGGAATATCATATTTTTTGTGCTCTACAAGATCATATTCATTTTGACACTATTTGGGGGGAAATTAGGTCATGATATTACTATCATATCACGATATTATCACTGACTGTGATATGATGGTCGCATGATGTTGGTATGAAGTTATATGTTGTTGGTATGAGATCTTATGTTTGACAAAGTAATTTGATGACATCATATCAATGTCATATAATGATATTATAACTATTTTACAATGATAATATCATGATATGATGTTGGTATGAGGCTTATGCTTGAAAAAACATAACAAAATAAATATCACTATTTAGATCTTAATGTTGATATGATATTCATATCACCGTCATGATATGTCACTGATATGGTGTTGGTATGAGGTATATGTTTGACAAAACACAACAAAATGATGTCATTGTATAAATTTTAATTAATGATAATGATATGTCATTGACATTATGTTGGTATGAGGTCTTATGTTTGACAAAATAATTTGATGACATCCTATCACTATCATATCATGATATTATCACTCAACGATAATGATAATATCATGATATGACATTGAATGATGTTAGTATGAAGTCTTATGCTTGATAAAACATAGCAAAATGTATATGGTTTGTGGTCCAGATCAAGAAGCTGAAGTATAGACCAGAGACCATACCAAATACTACACGGACCAGAACGCGACTGTGTTGTCTGATCTGGTATGGTCTTGACCATGCACACCACATTGACTAGAAAATGAATAGTTTTTTTAATCAAGCACAAGAAAAAATCGAACTCACCGAGAAAAAAAATATTTTTCATTAAAATATAAATTCTAACTAACATGCATAATTTTGGCACCATAAATTCAAGTAAATAACATGAATACAAAGTCAAAACAACCCAATGTTAACAAAATATTGTATTAAGACACGATTGTCTATAATCTGTGATGAAGTATGGTTTATGAATGAATGAGAGGATGGAATTCACAAAATTAGCATTGAGACTTGGGTGTCGTTGAGGAGTTGGGAGAGTGGTCGAGTGAGCTGCTGACAGGAATTGGAAAGTAGCATGGTCGGTTTGGTCTGGTAAACCGTGGTCTAGACCATACCAGACCAAGAAATCAATCCATCCTATTATCCAAACCATTGACCAAACCAGACCATTTTTAACGGTCTACGGTCCGAACCTAATTGTGGGTTTGATTTGGTCCGAAATTTTTCAAATGGTATGTTCTATTTCCCAACCCTATATGTAGAGAGGTAAGGAGGGAAAGTAAGAGATAAGCGAGAGGGCTTACCAAATTTGGGGGGGGGGGGGGGGGCAGCTGACCAGATCTTGGGGTTGGTCTGGTTTCCCAGACGACTGTTAAGCCATTTTTTAATCTTCTGCTAAAATTTGACAGATCTTTGCTCATTCGTTTTACGTCAGATTTAAAAAAAATTGCATAGAAAAATCATGTTTTAGTATGTTCTACAAGATAATATCATGATATGACACTGATATAATGTTAGTATGCAGTCTTATGTTTGAAAAAACTCAACAAAATGTAAATCAATGGGTAGATCATGATTATGCGAGCTTTCTATATAATTTTTTAATCCTTAGTGAAAATGAAGAAGATGGGTCACCATAACACTGTCATATCATGATGATATGATACTGATAATAATACAAGTGACATGTGTTTTGAAGAGTTAATTTTTTTTCTTTGCTCAAAATATAACAAAATTGGTATCATTGTGTAGATCATAATTTGATGACATCATATCAGTGACATTGATATGATGTTGGTATGAGCTCTTATGTTTGACAAAACATAACAAAATGTAGAGCATTCTATATATCATAATTAATATGTTCTTTGTAGAAAAACATTTAAAATTCTCATTAAAAATGAAGAAGATGGGTGATCATACCACAGTGACATCATGATGATATGATACTGAAAATACTATCATTGACACATATTTTGAAGAGTTACTTTTTTTAACTCAAAATATAACATAATGGATATTATTGTGTAACACATAATTAATGCATTCTTTCTATGCAAATCTGCTTGAGCTAGAGGCAGATCTGGGCCAAGTAGGGATATTGCAATTGTGTTGCTTGTAGTATAGAGCAATAGTAGTGGTACTCCATTTCATTGTATTTGTTCATACTGTAGTATAGAGCAATTGTGTTGCTTGTAGATATTTGTTGACTCCCCCGCCCTCTAAGTGAGAGCGCTCGTTGTGTTGGAAGTTTGGAATAAATAAAGCATCTGAAGAACGAATATTTTTTTTAAAAAATTCGAGTATAATGAATGTTATAGGATCCAATTAAGAGAAATTGGAGATTATAAAAAGTTTGTTCTCTCTCTTGTATTATCCGTGTTAGACTGTCATTGTAAAAAAAGAGCATGGGGTACAGAATTATCAGTCCATCCTTAGGTAATCAATTTGTGGAGCGGGAGCGAGAACGGGAGCGCGAAAGCGTCAATTTTCGAAGAATTCAATATTTAGAGCGTGACGAAAACGCTATTGTTATATTAATTTTAATTATTTTACAACTTAGCTACTATATTGTATATAATAAAATTATCAATAATGAGACCGATCAAAAGGGATCAACATATTTGGATTTATTATATAAAAAATACACAAATTTTGCATTCAAATTTTGGGGCTTGACCTTTACTAAAAAACAAAAGTAGAAATTTTTATGCTCACCTCATCATTCAATTCCAGCCCAGCCCAGACACGAGGAAGGATCATGTGACTAAGAAGGTGCTTAGTCACTTGACTAAACCCCTTCTAATTCTTAGATCTGAACACACTAATCTGATGGTTAAAAAAATAAGAAGGGTTTTTTTATTACTGATAGAGGTATTTTGGGTATTATGGAAAAATTTGAAGTATACAAAGTAGGTTGTCAACCCGCGGGTTGACCCACGGGTCGACCCAATTTGACCCTGACCCGGTGAGAAAAACGGGCCGCACGCACCCGCCGGGCCGACCGTTATTAGGTACCGAGTTGGAGGTCAAATTTTGCATTTTTTTCTTTAGTTTGTGAAATGCGCCTATTTTCCAATTTTTTTTTCCCGCCTAACTCAATCTTTGGAATACTAAGTTGAACATTTGAATATTTATATTATATAAGTGTGTTTGAATTTTCACTATATGTTGGATCTAAGTACGATATGTTATTTTGGTGTAATATTATATGTTATAACTCATATGTTAGATAAGATTTGATATAATTTATGATGATAAGTGCAATATAATGACTCTTTCTATATTTCCGGGCCAAACCGGGCTAAAACGGTTGACCCATTAACCCTTGACCCACTAGCTCGACCGGGTCCGGGTCAACCCGCGGGTTGACAACCTTACAAATCGAACTTACAAACAGTATAAATAATACAAATATACAAACATTACAAACTAAAATGATAAAACATACAAACAAATTTACAAACAATATAAACTAGACCGACAAACAATACAAGCCATACAAAATGAAAAAACAATCGGGTTAACTTTGGAGGCTCCATCCCTATATAGAGGGGTTTCGTCCCAAAGCCAACCCGATTGTTTTTTAGCCATACAAACATGGGGGACAAAAATGACAAACTGCACCGACAAAACGTACAAAATAGAAAAACATCCAGGTTGACTTTGGAGGCTCTATCTCAATATAGAGGAGTTCTATCCAAAAGTCAACCAGGTTGTTTTATAGACATAAGAAAAACATTACAAACATGGCTGATGAAAATGACACATGGTGGACAAAAATGACAAAGCTTACAAACATTACAAAAGAAACCGACAAACATTACAAAAATAACAAAGCTTACAAACATAACAAAATAAAACAACAAATATTACAAAGCATTCTAACAGTACAAAATAAAATTTATTACAAAACAAATTCGTAAATTTGTATTACAATTCAATAAATATAATACAAATCATAACATCAAATATACAAACTAGACTAATATATATATATATATATATGGGGAGTTCTACGGTACCCAGGGTGAAATCCAGGGTACCGCATACCTTGAGTAAGAAAACGCTATCCAGAACTTGAATTGACTAATCTTTCGGACATGATACTATACTCTAACCCTTAGAGATCAACATCTAGGCCTTAATTCTCTAAATCTTATACCCCAAGATCAATTTAATTAGAAACAATAATCGACGGTTA